ATAATGAGAGAGCTACGAAGGGAATAGTGCTCAGCTATATGCTGCCTTCTTGTAGTTTCTCTTTGGATTGCAGTAGCAGCAGCTTCATCTCTTAACAATTGTTGCTGCCGCCTTTTTTCAGCTCTCTGGAAAACAATTATGGCCTTAGAATGTTCCTGCTCTACTGCTTTGGCAGCTGCCTCATGAGTAGGGTCTTCGACGAAATCAGAAGGAGAGACAGTCATCTTCTTTCTCTTTCTTCTCTGTATTGGTATTTCCTGCTATTTCTCTATCTCTCTCTTTTCAACCTGGGATTCAAATTCCTCAGGAGTGAGTTCCTCTTCTACTACTTTGGCAGTTGTCTCATGAGTAGGATCTTCAACCAAATCAGAAGAAGAGACAGTTATCTTATTTCTTTTTTGTAAGGGTGTCTCTTGCTCTTGATCTGCTTCTTCTTTTTCTGCTGCCTGAACCTCAGACACTTCCTTTTTAGGATCAAATAAAAATTTCCTTTCTTTTTTTGCTGTTTGCTCCTGAGAAGATTTAAAGCTTGGGTCTGCTAAGGAGAATCTCCCTGTAAGGCATCCGTACCACCTTCACAAAAGAAGAACTAGAGATAAGGCTAAATGCATTATAAAAAAAAAAGAAAAGAAACAAGGGTATATACCTTTCTTCGAGGTATTGATATTTCCTGCTCTTTCTCCATCTCTCTCTTTTCAACCTGGGATTCAGATTCATCAGGAGTGAGTTCCTCTTCTACTACTTTGGCAGTTGTCTCATGAGTAGGATCTTCAACCAAATCAGAAGAAGAGACAGTCATCTTATTTCTTCTTTGTAAGGGTGTCTCTTGCTCTTGATCTGCTTCTTCTTTTTCTGCTGCCTGAACCTCAGACACTTCCTTTTTAGGATCAAATAAAAATTTCCTTTCTTTTTTTGCTGTTTGCTCCTGAGAAGATTTAAAGCTTGGGTCTGCTAAGGAGAATCTCCCTGTAAGGCATCCGTACCACCTTCACAAAAGAAGAACTAGAGATAAGGCTAAATGCATTATAAAAAAAAGAAAAGAAACAAGGGTATATACCTTTCTTCGAGGCAGCCTAAGTAACTCTAGGAGGAGTTGAGACAGTAGGAGTAGACTGTGTGGTGGCATGCACAGGAACTGAAGTGGTAGGAGCAATGGAAGAAGTGACACCTCCAGCTCCTTTGGGCTTGGCTTGGGGCACGTCCAACACCATTAATAGGTCTTGAGGAGGAATGGCCAAGTATACCTCCATATTGGTCACCCACTAGTTTTGGCACCTTTTCAATAGGTTACCTTGAGGAATGAAAGGGATATACTCAAACTCAATCAAGTCCTGTATAAACTTAGAAGTTGCTTCTTTTAGTCTGGACCTTCGAACCTTTAAATCCCTACTGTAAGACCTAAATTGGTGTTGCTGCAGAGAGGTATTGGGACCCCTTGTGAGAAGCCAAATTGTCTAGCAAATTGAGCAGGACAATAGGGCTTAGCAATGCATTTGTAAGCTTTGGGGTTCATAGTCCCAGTGAATAACTCTCTGGGGATCAGAATAGAGGCCCATATGTTCTTGTGATGAGGTGAAGCACAGAACCTATCACTTAGAAAATTTTTCAACCAAGATGGGCCAATGGTAGTAGGTTCGAAGGGACAAAAGCTGTAAGAAGGAAGGGAAGCTGGAATTTGGTGGTAGAAAGAGAAGTAAAAAGCAAAGGTAGAAGGATAAAGTGAAGCGTTGGCTAGCCTCATGCCATGGGTAGTAGGGTTTGGCTCAAAAAATTTAAGGCATTTAGATTGTAGCTCAGTAAAATAAGCAAAAAGCCAAAGCTGAAGTATCCAAAATGGACCCCCTTGATTGGCATCCAAGGGTTTCTCACAAAAAAGAGAACAAGCTCTATATACATAACCTAGAACGTATGGAGCTAAGGCCACCTTTTTCTGTAAGACAAGGGCTTTGGCAAGAGAGGCAAATTCAGGCATGATTCTTTGAGAAGAGGTACATAAAAGGAATTTGCAAAGCCAATATAATATGAAAGAAAAGAATTCCCTATCAATCACAGGGCCCTCCCTTTTATTCTCAGCCTTGACAAAGTCATTATAGGATGAGTTATGAGAGGGAGAGAAAAAAGGGGTTTGTAGGTCAGGATAATCTGGTCCAATGGGGGTTTCAGTGGGGGACAATCCTAATAAATGGCAGATATCAAGAACAGTAGGGGCCATCATCCCACATCTGAATTGAAAGAAATTAAAAGCAGAATTCCAAAAGCAAAGGGCAGCAGGTATTAAGAAAGGGTCCTCTAAGATAGTGAACCTGGATAGTTGGAGGGCGTCGAAAAGGCAGAGCTCTTGAAAGTCCAGAGTCCTATCAAGGACAACCCGATCATACCATTCTTGCCACTCCAGTCTCACCGTGGGCTATCATCGGTGGGGGCGGTTCATCCTCCAGTTTCCCCAGTCAAGATTACCTTCGTAAAGGAGACAATGGTCTTCTAGACGTGGATATAAAGCTGGAAGCTCAATAAGAATTTCTTTGAAGATGGGCCCAAGCACATAGTCTTGTTGCTCATGATGACGAGGGATGAAGATGCGTCCGTCGATGATGCTTTTCTCACCAGCCTTGTACTTCTCACATTCTGCCTCAATGATCCTTTTCAGGGTTACAGACGGGCTCACACGCTCTACGACTGGTACTTTCAATGAAGAAGAAGCCATTGATAGAAAGCTTTTTCAAAGGATGAAGTTGGGAAAGAGAGTAGAGAGAAGTGGAAGGTCGGTAGAAATAAAGGGTTTGTGCGATAGACAAATAGGTGAATTCCGAGCACGAAATAAAAGGGTTTTAAAACTTTTGTGTCTGAAAATATACCTGGTCGTGTGACACGGACGGAATTCACAATAAGTACTAAAAGTACGGATGCGAAGAGTTTCCCTCAATATTGATAATTTCTGGAGGGAAACACATCTCAAATACTAATGTCAGCTTCGAAATAAAATATTTGGCTTCGAAGCCAATTTTTGGCGCCAAAATGAAATGACAAACGGCTTCGAATGTCAAAAGCTTGCTTCGAAGCACATTCCACACCTAAGGATGTAAGAATGTTCAAGTATTTGTTTACTTTGAAGGGGATTAAAGACCTGCTTTAGGTTTCTTAATGAGAGTAGTATCCTTCGAAGCGAAACTTGAGATCCCTCAAGGACTGGAATTGTTGTTCGAAGTATCAAAATCAATAGTTGGTTTGATAGTATACAGAAGAGACTGCTTCTCAGATTAAAACAATGCAGCCCTTGAGAGGGGCTTCCATATTTTTGAAAGTATGGACTATTGTTCGAAGCAAAAATGATCAATTTAAAACTGATTGATTGTACTAATCATATGACCATATGTTGGATATGATTAAAACAAGCTTTAAGGGGTAAGATTGTTAAATTCGAAGCACTGATTCTAAATGGAAACCAGCAAAAGTTGTCAACCGTATTCCATGAATTGGACAAGCTCTTGTTGGTTTTTTCAGTGTTTCATTTGAGATGATTGAATCTAGATTCGAAAGATGAGATTGTTGAGTTCGAAGCCCTTAATTTGCTTGTAAAGACAAATGGAGATAAAGTCAAACCATGCCAAACAAAGAGAAAAGTCTTAATTGTATTGAAACAAAAGCAATTACATCGAAGGGCACTCTTTGGGTACAAATTCGAGTTCATAAAAGTAAGGAATAGAATAAATAACAAGATCATGGAATTTAGTCCAGCTATGGTCAATAAATTGCTATTCTTTTTTTATTTTATCCTCTATTTTCTCCAGGCTTGGTTGCTGAAGTTGATGTGCTCTCACTTGATAAAAGAGCTCTTCAGCCTTTATTTCGAATATAAGTCAGCACAGCTCATTCGACAATTATATTTATGTATTTGCTTCCGCTAGCCCCTTAATTTTGTTTAATCTATTCAAAGGCCTTCGGTAATCTCAAGATTACTGACCGGTTACGATGCTAAACCTATAAGGGTGGGTTTGAGTCGTGACAATGTATCTGATAAATGTCAAATTAATTTAATCTTTTTATGTGCCAAATATTAAATCTTATATGTATGCATGTAATTTGGGAGAATTCTATCATACACACTTCTTACCATATACACTCTTAATTGTATCATTTTTTTTAGTTATGGCTAATTTTCTTATTTAGTTATGACATTATTTTAATATTTTTTGTTATGTGTCATGTAGTGTTTAGTTATAATTTTTTTTTTTTTTTTATAGTTATAATTCAAAAAGTATAAAATTATATCATTTCTTTAATTATAAAGTGCATATGGTGTATACTCTTTAAGAGGTGTGAATCATAACCTTTTCCTGTAATTTGACATATAAATACACATAAATCATCGTTAAAAAAAATGCACATAAATGATAAAATAAAACTGTTGATACCATCCACGAATGTGAGTATTTTGAGTCACGCACGCACGCGTAATTTACACGATGCAAGTCTGTAAAAAAAAAATTATACATAGATGAAAGAAATTTTGTGAAAGATCCATTAACGGCCAGCTAAAAAACACCTTATTTTTCTAATTTGAGCTAAATAGGTTACAATGTACAAATTATTTGTTCCCTCATTATCATAAACCCTTCATCATAAATATTTAATTGTAAAAACAAATCAAACATCATAATATCAATCTTGCTGCTCATACCGTTCTCTTGTTTTCTCCCAAATCACACAAAACACATTGCATGGAATCTCTCTATCTGTTTCCAATATAGTGGTTCAGATTTAAATAGCTCATAATTTTGATTGAGATACGAATTAAGGTAACGTCCTATACCATTGGTTTTTTTTTGTGTTTCTCAATAAAGAATGAATAAAAAAATTCACAAACACGAGATTTCATCTTAATTAAGCGATTTTCAAAATCAATTTTTGAACACAAAAAACAGAAAACGAAATCAGAAATTTATCACAAATAATTTTTTTTTATTATTTATTTTTGTATGATCAATTGATTGTAGGCACAAATGGAACTATTCCAAAAGGCAATTTCAGTTAAACTAAGCCACAACGACAAGTACCTGGTAGCAGAGGACGACCAAGAATCTGTGTGCCAAGACCGCGACGGTTCATCAAAAATCAATTCAATTTGGGTGGTCGAGTTGGCCGACGGAGGGGATTTCTTACGATTCAAGAGCTGTCACGGAAAGTACCTCACCGCCTCTAATGTCCCATTCCTTCCCGGCTCGAGCGGTCGCAAGGTCCTCCAAACCATTCCCAAAAAACATGATTGTTCCTCCATCGAATGGGAACCGATTAGAGACGGTTTCTCGGTGCGATTCAAGACGCGTTGCGGCCACTTCCTCCGCCCCAACGGCGGTCTTCCGCCGTGGAGAAACTCCGTGACTCACGACATTCCTCACCGGATGGGGACTCAAGAGAAGGTTCTGTGGGACATTGAGATTGTGGAGTCTCTTGGAAAAACAAACTCGCCGTTGCCATCGCTGTCGCCGAAACCCCACCCTACTACGCTGGCCTTTCCGACTCAGAGGGAGCCGCCGATCCTTGCACTTCCGCCGCTCAAATTCAAGGTGAAGCATTGGTTCGTTGCGTTTCCTCATTCCTCGTCATGATGATATGAGTTAATGGATTGGGGCTTGATTTTTTTGTGTATATGGTGAGTAATGGAGATTTTTGTTAGAGAGCATCTGCATCCAGAAATTATCATACGGGTCACGAAGATTTCATATAATTGATGAGGCAGGCTGTTAATGAAAATTAATTTTTGGTGTGATCCACAAATCCAAAGTGGATGTTGGATCCCAAAACTATAGGCAAAAATTTAAAATAATTTCATCATCTCTGTATTATTTGCCGCAAATAGATTTAAATTATTGTGATGGAAAAATTCATCAACTTAAAGGCCAAATTTTTCTAATTGATGAAGAATTCTACATTGGAAGCAAAAATTGGAAGGCATAATGGCCAATAAAAAATTAAGATATAAAATACGGTTAATACACATATTTTTGAAGAGCTAATTATTCATAAAGAACTAAGGCATGTGGCTCGAAGGGTTAGCACACCAAGTCATGAAGATGATATGACTTGGGAGGCATGATGTTTTGCCAAACGTAACAAAAAGTGACAAGCCATTAATGGCTAAAAAAGACCAACTTCTTCTCTAAAAAAATGTTAAAAAATCATCACAAAATGATGATAAAAATTCACTTGAGAGGCATGATTTTAAGTCAAAAATAGCTTAAAATTATGAACTTGGGGGCATGATTTTAAGCCAAAGATGCCTGAAAATTATGAACCCACGTTTATTAAATGTGATTTTTTTTTTTGCATTGCTCAAAGTGTTTAGATTTATGAATTTTTCGTAACATTTAATTATGAAGAGAATTAATTTCTTTTTTTAGGGTTAAAATTTCACTCTCACACCAATAAATTTCATCCGCACAACGCCAAATTATTCTTTTCACATCATTTGTCATACCATTATGTTGACTATAAGCGGTAGAACTACCACCATAACACTGACAATTTTCAGAATATGAGGCATTTCGCTGATAATCTATTTCCATGGAAACATTACTACTCCACTGGTGGTTTGTATCCATGGGTGCACAAGATGTAAGCAAACTTGTCGAAGACATGACTTCATAAGAATAAGTAAGCTTCATCATCATCATCATCACTCCAAGTTAGAATGGTCCCATCGGGCATGCCAATTTATGTTAGCAAAAATTCAGTTTAGGACCAATCATCAGTGATTGATTGAAAAGTTTCAACTGATTTTAAATAAACACAAAAATGATCGGACTTTGTGATTGAGTCCTATGCCTTAAACACATTAAAAACTTCCCTAGAGGTAATTAAGTAAAGAAGGATTGGAACATAGCAAAATATATAGTAATTCGAATAAATTGTCACTTGTCACTAGTTAAGGGAACTTAAAAAAGAACAAAAAATTAAATAAATACAACAATTGACAGAAAGAAGAGAAGTGGGGATTACAAAAATTACTAATTTAATCTACTCCTAAAAGGACTAATTTAGAACTACTCCTAAATAACTCTTCACGAGTGTAATTGGTGGTTGTTGATATTATTGATTGATTATTCTTTGCATTTCTCTTAGCTTATTTATAGGCTCAGCCATATAAGAGAAAGAGATAACATAAGCCCATGATTTTCTCAACAAGCTCATGATTTTCTTAACATTATCCATATCCCGTGTTTGATAGGAATCATTTTACAAATTTGGCGTTTGATTTCATCTTGGCTCATTTATCTCAGTAACTAACTTTCAAATTGCAACAATTGCTAACTTTCTGGCCTTCCATTTAATATGTCATTATGCCACGTTCCTAATACATCTATCATGCCATGTTAGCATGCCTGTTGACAGAAATAATAATAATAAAAACAAATGTGATCAATGTTATTCTTTGAAAATAGTTTATGATTTCAATCGATAGATCATAATCGAACTTGGCCATAATTAATAGGCCATAATCGACAGAAAAATAAAATGTGGTGCAAACAATGCCCCCTTATTTAAATGGATTGAAGAATGATGTTCAATTAAATGATTTATAAAGCGGTTTACCACAATTGACAAGAAATATTTTATAGTGCAAATAATTTAAATTCTTGAAGAGTTATGTTACATCCATAGTAATTTTTAATCTATCACTGTTGATTGATGTACATTTCATCTTTGGCTTTGTCGAGTGACATAACAAAGAGTCACATCCCTCATTTTTAAAATAAAACAATTCTCTGTCAGCCACATTTTGGCTAATTAAAGAGAATTCACTACATATAGCATTTTTCAACCATTGTTGTTTTTCAAACCATGTTATGAAAATTAATTTTTGGTGTGATCCACAAATCCAAAGTGGATGTTGGATCCCAAAACTATAGGCAAAAATTTAAAATAATTTCATCATCTCTGTATTATTTGACGCAAATAGATTTAAATTATTGTGATGGAAAAATTCATCAACTTAAAGGCCAAATTTTTCTAATTGATGAAGAAATTCTACATTAGAAGCAAAAATTGGAAGGCATAATGGCCAATAAAAAATTAAGATATAAAATACGGTTAATACACATATTTTTGAAGAGCTAATTATTCATAAAGAACTAAGGCATGTGGCTCGAAGGGTTAGCACACCAAGTCATGAAGATGATATGACTTGGGAGGCATGATGTTTTGCCAAACGTAACAAAAAGTGACGAGCCATTAATGGCTAAAAAAGACCAACTTCTTCTCTAAAAAAATTTTAAAAAATCATCACAAAATGATGATAAAAATTCACTTGAGAGGCATGATTTTAAGTCAAAAATAGCTTAAAATTATGAACTTGGGGGCATGATTTTAAGCCAAAGATGCCTGAAAATTATGAACCCACGTTTATTAAATGTGATTTTTTTTGCATTGCTCAAAGTGTTTAGATTTATGAATTTTTCGTAACATTTAATTATGAAGAGAATTAATTTCTTTTTTTAGGGTTAAAATTTCACTCTCACACCAATAAATTTCATCCGCACAACGCCAGATTATTCTTTTCACATCATTTGTCATACCATTATGTTGACAATAAGCGGTAGAACTACCACCATAACACTGACAATTTTCAGAATATGTGTTCTTCTTCACCATTACTCCAAGTTAGAATGGTCTCACTGGGCGTGCCAATTTATGTTAGCAAAAATTCAGTTTAGGACCAATCATCAGTGATTGATTGAAAAGTTTCAACTGATTTTAAATAAACACAAAAATGATCGGACTTTGTGATTGAGTCCTATGCCTTAAACACATTAAAAACTTCCCTAGAGGTAATTAAGTAAAGAAGGATTGGAATTGTAGAAGGGGAAAATGTGTTCTCCACAGGGAAAGCGAGATGAGTTGTTCTTCCTTTACTCTGCAAAAAAGACAAATACCAAAACGTCAGTGATCTCCTTCGACCAAGGTTAGTTAGGGGGACCCTCCAATGATCAAATTAGAACCTTATTTAAACATGTCGTTTTTCTTCTGAAGAGTAGTATCTATTTCTTTGTTTTTGCTTGCCTTTAAACGGTTTTCCTTCCTCCTTTTATAGTGCAGATACTTGGTATCATAACTATTGGATTGTGGTACCAATTCAATGGTATTTTATGTATGCAGAGACTGGTCGGGCAAGTAGACAAGTGATTTTTTATGCCTTTGTCAGTTGCCTGGTGTTACAGATGGCTTAGATTTAGTTCGGGTTTTACACACTCAATCCTAATCGTTGGATTGATCTTATCGGATGCCTAGATTGTTAGAGTTGGTCGATTTTGTATCCTTTCTTTTGTTAGTTTTGATCTCTATCGTTGATTTCTATCTCATCCAAGGGTTTTCTTTCCTGTTTAAGGATCTCTTTTCTAAAAGCGATTCTGTCTAAATCTTCTATCACGTAACCTTGTTTGCTTGACAGCTGTACCTTCTAAGGGCTTGGGCCTAGACTTTTCCCTAGCTGGGTAAAAATGCTTTGGGGCCACGTCTTAACTTGCTTAAGCCTTAGGCTTAAATTTTTATCCTCTACAATTGGCCCCCTTTCGGCGTTTCGTTGTAATCGAATTACCGAAGGTGCCCTAGCCGACTGTCGTAGGTCCCTAGGAAAATAGCGCTGTATGTGATACGCGTCTGTTGAGTATCCTTATTTAAATAATGACGCCTGTCATTTCTTTCTTTAATGTGTTGTTTCGCTTTTGATGTATTTAATCGAAGGTTTTGGCCCCCCTCGTTTTGTCATTGCTCATCACATTACTCCTTCTGCTTTTCTACTTGTGTCTTTGCCCTTCAGCGAAAGTTTTTTGTAAGTTTATCCCTTTTCTCTTGCGATTTCTCAATTCTATTAGCTTTTGTTTGACTAAAATGAATCGATTGAGGTCATTCTTCAAATCCGAAGAGAGTATTGCTGAATTCAAGGCGTTATATAGTGTTCCTGAGGATGTTATTGTTTACATTCCTTCATCCGATGACAGTTTGTCAGGGGGTTCTGAAGAATGAATTCATTTTCCTTTAATAGATATAATAGAGGGAGGAGTTAGGTTTCCTCTGCATCCCTTCCTTCGAAAGGTGTTGCACTTTTATGGGGTGCCCCCTTTCCAACTGTCCCCAAATTTTTTTAGGATAGTGATGGGTGTAGTGGCCCTGAATGACCTTCTTGGAATGAATTTAGGTCTGTCTGAGATTAGGTCTGTCTGAGATTAGGTACTACTATAATTTTGTTCCTACTACCAAAGAGAGAACAAAGTTTTACTTTAAACCCAGGTCGGTGAAGCGCAGCTCGTTCAAATGCTTCCTAATTCTAGTAAGGGTGTGAATGATGTGTTTGTCATAATAGAGGGGAATTGGGAATTTCCTCCTGGAGTTGATCGGATTCGACCTATTCCTATGGTCATTGGCCGTCTAGGTTATGAGTCACCTTTGTTTGCTTTTTCTTTGCATTTGTCTTGTTATTTAGCTTTACTAATAATTGCGTTTATTTGTCACAGTTCTCGAAGTCTTTTTTCATCCTAGCGACTGGGAAGATCAAGTAAACCCCCCTCTCTTGCGCTGAGCTTGGTCGTACAGAGGACCACTAGAGCAACAA